GGACAATTTAGAATCACCAATTAACCTCAGCATGTTTTTGGACTGTGTGGGAGGAAAAACCCGGAAAGAACTTGCAACATGCAAACTCCATGCAGAAAGATCCCGGTGCCCCCACCGGGATGCGAACCGGCGACCTTCTTGCTGCGAGACAACAGTGCTACCAACTGTGCCACCTTGCGAGGCTAATTTTAAACACCGCAATACTTCCTGAATCTTTAATGTTTGCAGTTAAAAAACCACCCCACGGCAACGTAATGTTAACCTACAAACTCCACTCTGCTAAGTTGTCTAGAACATCTTAAAACATTTGTAGGAACCAGCGTCGAGTTCATGGAGCAACAACCGACTTTGCAGAGAATTGAGAGAAAATGTCCGAACACCATCTGCTCTCTGCAAAATTCAGTGAAACTTTTACCCAGTATATTGCTTTTCATAACCAGCCTTTGCCAGTTGTGGATAATACTAGATACACAAGTTCATAAGTTATATTTTCAGGTGTTAATTTATACAGTTAATTTACTAAATCAGAATCACAGTTCCTCCCTTTCAGAGTTTTAGAAATTTAAGTAGTAGAAAAAAAGATAAACATGAGTAGAAAAATATAGTATTAAATAATAATAATAGGAGTTCTAATTGTGTTTGCATGTTCTTGTTGTTTACACAGTAATTCATTGTATATTACTTTGAACTTTTCATATTTACAAGCTGAAGTAGTTATTTGCCGCTTTAGGACGAGTACAGCTTCAGTTATGTCAGTCTGAGACGTTATGATTCTGATCGGCTCCGGTCGTCACATGAGAGTACAGTGAAATTAAGCAGCAATCTGTCCGTGCATTTACATATTCAGACATTTTAGAAGTACCATAAGATAACATCTAGTAGAAAACAAATGTTATGTGCAAGTGCATCTATCTAAAACAGTGGGACAACTTATTCTTTTTAAGCTAGCTTATTTGGTATAATAGGAATTATAAAAACAGTAGCTGATATTGCATTTGAAGACATTGCACATTTCTGAACAATAAAATGTATGACTTTAGTGCAAAAATTACGGACAAGGTGCAGTTGCATGTAAACATATTTAAACGTGTAGTTTCATTAAATAAATACGAGGTGCACAGTGCAAAGTGTTATCAGTCCCAACCACCACATACTCAACCCTCACGTTACAATAATGTGAACAAAAAACGGGATAAAGATAAAACTTTATTGATACCAAAGGAAATTCTGACGCCAGATATCGCTCAAAACAAATGACATAAAATAAGAAATGCAGTGTCTNATAAAAGTCACAAACCTTTTGGTCTTTAAGGACCTCTGTCATTTTTTAAAACTGATGCCTGATTGTTCATGGAGGCTGCATTTATTTTCTGATACGCTTGTAAGTGATAAACTCAGATCAAATATATTCGTTGGGTATTAATTTAGTTCTGTGTGTGTTTGCAGGGAGAGCCGCTGATAAACCTGCGGAGTAAAGAGCAGGAGGCAGAGCTGGTGCGTCAGACCCTGGCAGTGCTCACCGCCATGAGGATCAGGTTTCCGGGCAAAACCGAAGAAGAGGCCGAGGCGGTGCTGGATGAGGTGGGTGCAGGGCTGTACAGTTTGTGCGTTATTTTATAGAGTCAGCAAAAGGTTTATTTCAGTGTGCAGGCAGGCAAACGGACAGAAAAACAAAGACAAATAAAGTGAAGGCAGAGTGTTGAGCAGATACCCAGACGCTGTATTCCCAGAGCCACTCCGCAGCCAGGTGCGGTCACTCTGCAGCCTAACTAAAAGTGACCTCCTCGCCTCCCTTCACAATAGCCTCGACCGCTCTGGCTGGGTTCCCATTGTATTTCACACGACCCCAGCGACAACCTGTCGGTCAGTTTGCAGCCCGACTCTATTCCCCGCTGCTCCTCTGTATTTATCAGTGCCTCCTCTATTTGTGGTCAGATCTCAGTGTCCTGGCATTCGCTGTGTGTGCATGTTTTCACGTCTGTCGCTGAAAACTAGTATTGAATTTCATTTATAGAAGAACTTCCTCGCTCAGCTAATGGATGCAGGTTATGTTAATTCACATAACAGTGTTTAATAAAGGCCACTTTCTTTTATAAGCCAGTATATCAATTATAGCAGCTATCACTGTGGTCGACCTGCGTTCTCCAAATGTTTTCATCCGTTTTATGTAAATGTGGAAAAACTACAATAGAAAAAGCCATTGTGGATGTGTTGTCAAGGTAAAAAGAAAAGAAGAAAAGGCTCTCTCAGAAAATGCAACAGAGAGTCTCACCTTGAATTCACAGCAGAAGAGAGGCATCAGCTTCATAAAAGTACCGTGAAAGCGTTCAGCCGTCCAGTCTACACTGATTCTGACCTCCATTACAAGCGCCGCTGTCCTCGGAAGCAGCTGTCTGTTCGGTGCAGCGCAGTTCCCACAGTGCAGGAAGGACAGCAGCCAGCCAGACTGTCTCCGCTCGGATAAATAACGACAAAAAAAAAAAAACCTACTGAAATGTTCAGCGCGATCCAAGTGAAGTGCGCCCAAAGAACTATGCCAGAGTTGCTTGTGCTGTTTCACAAAGTCACAGTTGGGTCAGAGTGCAAGGTCTCTCTCGCTTGGCTTTTCAACTTCGGAGCGCTGAAGGCGTCGATGCTGCCGCGCCATGCGGACAGCAGCAGTCGGATGGACAGTATAGGCATCACTCTGCAGTGAACGTGTGGTGGGTTCAGGCTAAAGAGTTCAGAGTGCCTGACCTCACAGGAGCCTCTCCATATGTTCCTCATGGTCTGTCGAAAGTGGAAACCGCTTCTGCTGCTCTCCCACAGTTTGTATCGTCGGCATATTCGCACATCTACATCGTTCGCTGCCACAAAACTCTTGCAGAATATTGAGTATTTATATTAGAAGGAAAACTCTTTTCGGCATTATTGATACGAGCTGTAATAAAATTCAGATGTGAGGAGGCTGGAGTTGTTTTTAGGAGCTTTTATCCGAGTTTTGTTGTTGTAGCTCCTTCAAAGTTTGTATTAATGTAATTAAATCAAAGCTCCTTCATGTGAAGTGTCTTTCACTTACAAGACGGTAATTATCTCCATTATTAGTTTTTGCTTACATAAATACAAAAAAAAAAGAAACATTCTCAATAATGATCTAATGAATGTAAATTCCTTTAAATCAAGACGTGATTGCCGTGATTAGTTTTAAAGGTACAGCGAGCCCCCCCGGCGCGTTCCTGTGTCCTCGCAAGAACACCGAAAACCCAAATCCATGTGTGTGCATAACATCTGGGTGTGTCAGGGCTGCGAGAGACAATTACCACCACACCTGTACCGTTAACGAAGCCTAATGAGAGCGCCATGGAAACGGCGAGCGGCGGCTGCACCTGTACCGTCGGCTCAGAGCCTCGGGAGACAAGGAGTGTTCACTTGGCATGAAAACAATCTTTGGCATTTTCTTGCTTTCCGTGATTTAAAGTTGAGGTCTAATTGGACTAATGATGTGTTTGTATCCGAGTAATTGCCTCTTTTATCTTTCACTCAAAACCTTCTTTTTTGGTTGCAGTCGGAGCCATTGAGAGATGAAATGTATCAAATGCATTTTGTTGTGCTTTAATTGAGGGTAATTTGTGCGCATATTAAAAACAATGTGACAAATGAGCGTGCAGACAAAATAACAAGACACTTAGTGATGTGCTGCTGTAAACAATTTCCCACCTTGTTCATGAGGTTCTTACGGAAAGAGAGAACTGAACAAAAAAAGCAGCAACTTTCTGAAATGTTTGCTGTTGTCCTGGACTGATACCACTAATCTGGTATCAGTCTAAATAGTTCAGTTTGAAGTTTATTTTTGCAGGAACAATTAAAAGTAATAGCACCAGAGTTAGCTAGCAGCTAATTAGCACCTGCTGTCAAAAGTCCTTCAATGTGAGATAATAAATAAAATCAGTAAAAACAATGAATTAGAGATAATCATTGG